CTCCCTCCCCAAAACCCCTCCCCCATTCCCCAAAACTGCTTTTCCTTCCCCAAATCCCTTTTCCCTTCCCCAAATCCCCTTTTCCCTCCCCAATCCCCAAATCCCCTTTTCCTTCCCCAAATCCCTTTTCCCTCAATCCCCTTTCCCCACCCCCAAACCCCCGTTTTCCCTGAACCCCATTTTCCCCCAAATCCTCTTTTCCCTAAATCTCCTTTTTTCCCCAATCCCTTTTTTCCCAAATCCCCTTTTCCCTCCCCGAATCCCCCTTTCCTTCCCCAAAATCCCCTTTTCCCTAAATCCTCTCTTCCCACCACAATCCCCTTTTTCCCCCCAAATCCCTTTTTTTCCCCCAAATCTCTTCCCCTGAAATCCCCTTTTTCTCCCCAAATCCCTTTTTCCTCCAAATCCGTTTTTCCTGAAATCCCCTTTTTCCCCCCAAATCCCTTCTTTTCCCCCAAATCTTTTCCCCTGAAATCCCCTTTTTCCCCCAAATGCCTTTTTCCCCCAAATCCCCTTTTCCTCAAATGCCGTCTTTTACCCTTAAATTCCTTTTTTCCCCCCAAATCCCCTTTCCCCCGAATCCCTTTTCCCCAAAATCCCCATTTTCCCCCCAAATCCCTTTTTCCCCTAAATCCCTTTTTCCCCAAACCCCCTTTTTCCCCCAAATCCCTTTTTCCCCCCCAAATCCCTTTTCCCCAAATCCCTTTTTCCTCTTAAAACCCCATTTTCCCCCCAAACCCCCTTTCCCACCCCTTTCCCGGGGGGTCCCCTCCCCTCCCCCATCTCATCCGCTCTCGCTCGGGGATTTTTTGTTGCATTTTTCCATTATTTCCCCCCAAACCCGCGCTCCCCCCCCGGTTTTGCTGTTGATTTGCTCCATCCTCCACCGCCACCTCCTCCTCCCGGGGCAGAGGAGATCGAAGGTAAGACCCCTCCCCAAACCCCCCCGGGCTGCGGGCCCCCCGCCCCAGCCCTGCCCACCTTCCTCCGCTCCTCTTCCTCAGCCTCCAACATCGACAACGTGGTGCTGGACGAGGATCGCTCGGGGGCGCGGCGCCTGCAGAACCTCTGGAGGTGACCCCCGGACCCCCGCCCCATCTCCACGCGTTTTCCCCTCGTTTCCACCCGTTTTCCCCTTCTTTTCCCTTGCTTTCCCTGGTTTTCCCCCATTTTTACCCATTTTTCCCTTGTTTTCCCCAATTTTTCCCTTGTTTCCCCTTGTTTTCCCCCATTTTTCCCTGGTTTTCCCCCATTTTCCCTAATTTTTTCTGGTTTTTCTTCTTTTTCCCGCATTTTTCCCTTGTTTTCCCCCATTTCTCCCCATTTTCCCCTTGTGTTCCCCATTTTCTCCTTCTTTTCCCCCATTTTTACTCATTTTCCCTTCTGTTCCCCATTTTCCCCTTATTTTCCCGTTTTCACCCATTTTTACCCATTTTCCCCTGCTTTTCATCCATTTTCACCCATTTTACCCATTTTCCCCTTGTTTTCCCCCGTTTTCCCCTTGTGTTCCCCATTTTCCCTTGGTTTTGTTCCATTTTCCCTGATTTTTTCTCTTTTTCCTTCTTTTTCCCACATTTTTTCCTTGTTTTCACCCATTTTCCCCATTTTCCCCTTGTTTTTCTGTGTTTTCCCCATTTCCCCCCATTTTCCCCCCATTTCTCCCCATTTTTGCCCATTTCCCCCTATTTTTTCCCATTTTTCCCTGATTTCCCCCCGTTTTTCCCATTTTCCCCCATTTTCCTCCCCGTTTCTCCCGTTTTCCCCATTTCCGGGTGATTCTGCCCCGTTTTTTCCCCGTTTTTCCCATTTTTCCCTGTTTTTTCCCCCATTTTTCCCATTTCTGGCTGATTTCCCCCTGTTTTTCCCATTTTTCCCTGTTTTTTCCCCCATTTTTCCCATTTCTGGCTGATTTCCCCCTGTTTTTCCCATTTTTCCCTGTTTTTTCCCCCGTTTTCCCCATTTCTCACTGATTTTTCCCGTTTCTGGCTGATTTCCCCCCATTTTTCCCGTTTCCCCCCGTTTTTCTCCCCGTTTCTCCTGTTTTCCCCGTTTCTGGCTGATTTCCCCCTGTTTTCCCTGTTTCTCCCCATTTTTCCCGTTTCCGTCTGATTTTGCCCCGTTTTTCTCCGTTTCTCCCCGTTTTTTCCCCATTTTTCCCGTTTTTCCTGTTTCGGGCTGATTTTGCCCCGTGTTTCCCCGTTTTTTTCCCGTTTCTCCCCGTTTATCCCCATTTTTCTCCCGTTTTTCCCGTTTCGGGCTGATTTGTCCCCATTTCCGCAGGGACCAGCGCGAGGAGGAGCTGGGCGAGTACTACATGAAGAAATACGCCAAGTCCTCCGTGGGGGAGACGTGAGTGACCCCTGACCCCTGAGTGACCCCTGAGTGACCACTGACCCCTGAGCAACCCCTGAATGACCACTGAGTGACCACTGACCCCCGAGTGACTCCTGAGTGACCCCTGACCCCTGAGTGACCACTGAGTGACCCTGAGTGACCACTGACCCCTGAGTGACCCCTGAGTGACCACTGACCCCTGAGTGACCAGTGACCTAAAAGACCACTGAATGACCACTGAGTGACCACTGAGCTCTGACCCTGAGTGACCACTGACCTGAGTGACCCCTGATCTGAGTGACCCCGAGTGACCATTGACCTGATTGATCACTGACTTGAGTGACCCCTGACCTGAGTGACCACTGAGCTCTGACCCCTGAGTGACCCCTGACCTGAGTGACCCCGAGTGACCAGTGACCTAAAAGACCACTGAATGACCACTGAGTGACCACTGAGCTCTGACCCCGAGTGACCCCGGCTGACCCCGGGCGGCCCCGCCCCCTGATTTTGGGTGTTTTTCCCCGTTTCCAGCGTTTACGGCGGCTCGGACGAGCTCTCGGACGACATCACCCAGCAGCAGCTGCTGCCCGGCGTCAAGTGAGAGCGGGGAAAACGGGGATTTGGGGCGAAAAACCGGGATTTTGGGCAAAAATGGGGGTTTGGGGGGAAAAACGGGATTTTGGGGGGAAAAATGGGGATTTGGGGGGAAAAATGGGATTTTGGGGCAAAAAACCAGGATTTTGCGGGCAGGGTTAACAAAAATCAGAACTGGGCCAGGGAAAAAACAGGAATTTGGGGGAAAAAATGGGATTTTGGGGAAAAGAACGGGAATTTGGGGCAAAACCCCACGATTTTGGGGCAGAGTTAGAAATCAGAACTGGGCTGGGGAAAAAACAGGGATTTGGAGAAAAAAACAGGAATATGGGGGGAAAATGGGAATTTGGGGGGGAAAAAATGGGAATTTGGGTGGGAAAATGGGAATTTGGGGGAAAAAAACGGGAATTTGGGGGGGAAATGGGGATTTGGGGGAAAAAAAACGGGAATTTGGGGGGGAAAACAGGAAATTGGATCAAAAACCAGGAATTTGGGGCAGAGCTAAAAAATGGGAAGTGGACTGGGGGAAAAAATGGGAATTTGGGGCAAAACCCCCAGGATTTTGGGGCAAAAAACCCAGAATTTTGGGGCAAAAAAGTGGGAATTTGGGGCTGAATTAACAGAAATGGGAACTGAGGTAGTGGAAAAAAGGGGGGATTTGGGTCAGACCCCCAAAATAACGAATTTTTGTTCCCCCCCAGGGACCCCAATCTCTGGACTGTGAAGTGCAAGGTGGGTCTGGGGGACCCCAAAACTGAGGGGTTTGTGCCCAGAAATCCCCTCTGAGCCCAAACCCCCAAGTAACGAATTTTTGTTCCCCCCCAGGGACCCCAATCTCTGGACTGTGAAGTGCAAGGTGGGTCTGGGGGACCCCAAAACTGAGGGGTTTGTGCCCAGAAATCCCCTCTGAGCCCAAACCCTGCTGTTTCTCCCCAAACCCTCCTGGTTTTGCCCCAACCCTGCTGTTTTCCCCCAAACCTTTCTGCTTTTCCCCAAGTCCCGCTGTTTTTCCCCAAATCTTGCTGTTTTTCCCCAAACCTTTCTGTTTTTGCCCAAACCTTTCCGTTTTTGCCCAAATTTTGCCGTTTTTGCCCCAGATCGGCGAGGAGCGCGCCACGGCCATCGCCCTCAGCACTGAGAGACACTGGGAACAACTGGAGGGGACTGGGGGGACTGGGGACACACCTGTACGTGGGGTCACACCTGTACCTGGGGACACTGAGGCCGCACTGGGCCGTACTGGGCTGTACTGGTCTGTACTGGGCTGTCCCCAATATCACACTGGTGTCACCCCGGTGTCCCTGTCCCCCCAGCCCCTGCAGGTCAAGTCTGTGGTTACCTGTGCGTGGGGACACTGGGGGCACACCTGTACAGGGGAACACCGGGGTTACACTGGGGTTATACTGGGGTTACACTGGGCTGTCCCCAGTGTCTCAGCAGTGTCACAGCAGTGTCACAGCAGTGTCACCCTGTCCCCCCAGCCCCTGCAGATCAAGTCTGTGGTTACCTGTGCGTGGGGACACTGGGGGCACACCTGAACACCGGGGTTACACTGGGCTGTACTGGGCTGTCTCTGGCTGTCTCCAATGTCACACCGATGTCACACCGATGTCACAGCAGTGTCACCCTGTCCCCCCAGCCCCTGCAGATCAAGTCGGTGGTGGCCCCCGAGCACGTCAGGGGGCACCTGTACATGGAGGCCCTGGGGTCACACCTGTACAAGGCACACCAGGGTTATACTGGGGTTACACTGGGGTTATCCAGGGCTGTCCCCAGTGTCACACCAATGTCACACTGATGTCACCCTGTCCCCCCAGCCCCTGCAGAGTCAGATCCTGAGTCAGTGATTCCCTGATGAGATACCGGCTCACTAGATCCCAACTCAGATCTCCTAGCAGATCCCATCCCAGCAGATCCCAACTCAGATTCCAGCCCAGCAGATCCCAGCTCAGATCCCCGCTCAGTGGATCCCCTGTCAGATCCCCTGTCAGATCCCAGCTCGGTGGATCCCCGCAGATCCCTGCTCTGCAGAACCCCTATCAGATTCTCACTCAGATCCCATCTCAGTGGATCCCAGCTCAGATCCCAGCCCAGCGGATCCCCTGTCAGATCCCAGCTCGGTGGATCCCCGCAGATCCCTGCTCTGCAGAACCCCATCAGATCCTCACTCAGATCCCAGCCCAGCAGATCCCTGCTGAGATCCCCGCTCAGCAGATCCCAGCCCAGCAGATCCCTGATGAGATCCCTTGTCAGATCCCAGCCGAGAAGATCCCAGCTCAGATCCCAGCCCAGCAGATCCCCACTCAGCAGATCCCATCCCAGTGGATCCCCCAGCAGATCCCAGCTCTGGATCCCCTCTGGGTCCCCCCGAGCAGACCCCAGCTCAGATCCCCTATCAGATCTCACCTCAGTGGATCCCATCCCAGTGGATCCCATCCCGGTGGATCCCCTCTGGTCCCCCCCGAGCAGACCCCAGCTCAGATCCCCTATCAGATCCCCTATCAGATCCCATCCCAGCTCTGGATCCCCTCTGGCCCCCCCGAGCAGACCCCTCTCTCTCCCCTCCCCACAGAAGGACTGGTTCGCCAAGCGCAAGAAGTTCAAGCGGCCGCCGCAGCGGCTCTTCGACGCCGAGAAGATCCGGTACGGCCGGGACCCCCGGGGACCCCCCAGGGACCCCCCAAACCCCCCAGGAACCCACTGAGCCCCCCGGTGTCCCCGCAGGTCCCTGGGCGGGGACGTGGCCTCCGACGGCGACTTCCTGATCTTCGAGGGCAACCGCTACAGCCGCAAGGGCTTCCTGTTCAAGAGCTTCGCCATGTCCGCCGTGGTGAGCCCCAGTCTGCTGAAATTCACCCCAAAACGGGCCAAAATCCAGCCCCAAATGGGCACGGTGTGACCCAAAACAGGCAGGGTATGGGAAAAATCCAGCCCAAAATGTTCCTGTTCAAGAGCTTCGCCATGTCCGCCGTGGTGAGCCCCAGTCTGCTGAAACTCACCCCAAAATGGGCTGGTCTGACCCTAAACGGGCCTGGTCTGGGAAAAATCTGCCAAAATCCACCCCAAAATGGGCCAAAATCCAGCCCAAAATGTTCCTGTTCAAGAGCTTCGCCATGTCCGCCGTGGTGAGCTAAAATCTGGGGGAATCTGACCCAAAATGGGCTGGTCTGACCCTAAATGGGCCTGGTCTGGGAAAAATCTGCCAAAATCCACCCCAAAATGGGCCAAAATCCAGCCCAAAATGTTCCTGTTCAAGAGCTTCGCCATGTCCGCCGTGGTGAGCCCCAGTCTGCTGAAACTCACCCCAAAATGGGCTGGTCTGACCCTAAACGGGCCTGTTCCAGCCCAAAATGGGCATGGTCTGTCCAAAATCTGCCAAAATCCAGCCCAAAATGGGCCAAAATCCACCCCAAAATGTTCCTGTTCAAGAGCTTCGCCATGTCGGCCGTGGTGAGCCAGATCTGAGGGAATCTGACCCAAAATGGGCTGGTCTGGCCCTAAACGGGCCTGGTCTGGGAAAAATCTGCCAAAATCCACCCCAAAATGGGCCTGTTCCAGCCCAAAATGTTCCTGTTCAAGAGCTTCGCCATGTCCGCCGTGGTGAGCCAGATCTGAGGGAATCTGACCCAAAATGGGCCTGTTCTGGCCAAAATCCGCCTCTCCCACCCCAAAATGTGCCTGTTCCAGCCAAAATCTGCCTCTTCCAGCCCAAAACCCGCTTGTTTGAACCCGAACCTAACAAATGTGAACGCAAACCTCACAAATTTGAACACGAAATCCCCAAATTTGATCCTTAAACCCCCAAATTTGAACCCAGAACCCCTAAGTTTGAACCCAAAACCCCACAATTTTGACCCTTAACCCCGCCCGCTGCAGCCCCAGCCTGGTCTGTCCAAAATCTGCCAAAATCCAGCCCAAAATGGGCCAAAATCCACCCCAAAATGTTCCTGTTCAAGAGCTTCGCCATGTCGGCCGTGGTGAGCCAGATCTGAGGGAATCTGACCCAAAATGGGCTGGTCTGGCCCAAATGGGCCTGTTCTGGCCGAAATCCGCCTCTCCCACCCCAAAATGTGCCTGTTCCAGCCAAAATCTGCCTCTTCCAGCCCAAAACTTGCTTGTTTGAACCCGAACCTAACAAATGTGAACCCAAACCTCCCAAATTTGAACACGAGATCCCCAAATTTGATCCTTAAACCCCCAAATTTGAACCCAGAACCCCTAAGTTTGAACCCAAAACCCCACAATTTTGACCCTTAACCCCGCCCGCTGCAGCCCCAGCCCCGTTTTTGCCCCAAACCTCGGGATTTCCCCCCAAACCCAGATCACGGAGGGCGTCAAGCCCACCCTGTCCGAGCTGGAGAAGTTCGAGGACCAACCCGAGGGCATCGACCTGGAGGTGGTGACCGAGAGCACAGGTACGAGGGTCCCCCACTGCCCCGCCCCAAAGTGCCCCGAAACCGCCGGAATTCACCCCAAAAAACCCCCAGGGAAGGAGCGGGAGCACAACTTCCAGCCGGGCGACAACGTGGAGGTGTGCGAGGGGGAGCTCATCAACCTGCAGGGCAAAATCCTCAGCGTGGACGGCAACAAGATCACCATCATGCCCAAGCACGAGGACCTCAAGGTGGGGAGCGCCCCGAAACCCCCAAAATCCCCAAACGGGGGCGGTTTTGGGGCGCTAAAGCGGGAATTTGGGGTTTTGCAGGACATGCTGGAGTTCCCGGCGCAGGAGCTGCGGAAGTACTTCAGGATGGGCGACCACGTCAAGGTGATCGCCGGGCGCTTCGAGGGGGACACCGGGCTCATCGTCAGGGTGGAGGAGAACTTCGTCATCCTCTTCTCCGACCTCACCATGCACGAGGTGGGAATGGGGCGAAAACGGGAAAAAACGGTGAAAAAACGGTGAAAAAATGGGAAAAAAGGCATAAAAATGGGGTAAAATGGGATCGAATCAGGGGAAATGGAGAGGGAAGGAGAACTTCGTCATCCTCTTCTCCGACCTCACCATGCACGAGGTGGGAATGGGGCGAAAACGGGAAAAAACGGGAAAAAACGGTGAAAAAATTGGAAAAAACGGGGGGAAAATGGCATAAAAATGGGGTAAAACAAGATTAAACTGGGGGAAATGGAGCAGGGAGGAGAACTTCGTCATCCTGTTCTCCGACCTCACCATGCACGAGGTGGGAATGGGGCGAAAAACGGCGAAAACGGGAAAAAATGGGGGAAAATGGTGAAAATTAGAAAAAAACAGTGAAAAATAGGGGGGAAATGGCATAAAGATGAGTTAAAATCAGGGGAAATGGAGAAGGGAGGAGAACTTCGTGATCCTGTTCTCTGACCTGACTATGCATGAGGTGGGAATGGGGCGAAAAATGGTGAAAACGGGAAAAAATGGGGGAAAATGGTGAAAAAATGGTGAAAATCAGGGAAAAAACGGCATAAAAGTGGGGTAAAATGGGATAAAATCAGGGGAAACAGAGGGTGGAGGAGAACTTCGTGATCCTGTTCTCTGACCTGACTATGCACGAGGTGGGAATGGGGCAAAAAACTGTGAAAACGGGAAAAATCTGGCGGTTTTGGGGTGAAAGCAGATCTGGGGCCGGGTTTTGGGGTGAAATCGGGCGGTTTTGGGGTGAAAGCAGATCTGGGGCCGGGTTTTGGGGTGAAATCGGGCGGTTTTGGGGTGAAAGCAGATCTGGGGCAGGGTTTTGGGGTGAAATCGGGCGGTTTCGGGGTGAAAGCAGATCTGGGGCAGGGTTTTGGGGTGAAATCGGGCGGTTTCGGGGTGAAAGCAGAGCTGCTGGGTTTTGGGGTGAAATCCGGCAGTTTTGGGTCCCCAGCTCTCCCCTTCCCGCCCCAGCTGAAGGTGCTGCCCCGGGACCTGCAGCTCTGCTCCGAGACGGCCTCGGGCGTGGACGTGGGGGGGCAGCACGAGTGGGGGGAGCTGGTGCAGCTGGACCCCCAAACCGTGGGGGTCATCGTGCGCCTGGAGCGGGAGACCTTCCAGGTGAGACCCCCAAATCCCCCCCAAATCCTGCCCCAAATCCCCCCAAAAATCCCAGAAAACTCCACGGAAATGCTCAGAAAAATCCCCCAAAAAATCCCCCAAAACCCCACAGAAATTCTCAAAAAAATCCCCCCAAAAAATCCCACAGAATCCCACGGAAATCCTCCTGAAATCCCTCCCAAGAAATCCCCCAAAACCCCACAGAAATCCTACTGAAATCCCCGTCAAAAATCCCCCAAAAAATCCCCCAAAACCCCACGGAAATCCTAAAAAAAATCCTCCCAAAAAATCCCCCAAAACCCAAGAGAAATCCCCCCCCCAAATCCTGCCCCAAATCCCCCCAAAAATCCCAGAAAACTCCACGGAAATGCTCAGAAAAATCCCCCAAAAAATCCCCCAAAACCCCACGGAAATCCTAAAAAAAATCCTCCCAAAAAATCCCCCAAAACCCAAGAGAAATCCCCCTCAAATCCTGACCAAAATCCCCTCAAAAAATCCCCCAAAATCCCACAGAAATCCCCCCCAAAAATCCCCCAAAACTCCACGGAAATTCTCAAAAAAATCCCCCCAAAAAATCCCACAGAACCCCACGGACATGGGGTGTATCCCAGGTGTCCCAGGTGTATCCCAGGTGTATCCCAGGTGTATCTCAGGTACATCCAGATGTATCTCAGGTGTATCTCAGGTGTCTCAGGCGTGTCTCACCTGTGCAGGTGCTGAACATGTACGGTAAGGTGGTGATGGTGCGCCACCAGCCAGCCCTGGGTGTGTCCCAGGTGTATCCCAGGTGTATCTCGGGTACATCCAGGTGTATCTCAGGTGTGTCCCACCTGTCCCAGGTGCTGAACATGTACGGCAAGGTGGTGACGGTGCGCCACCAGCCAGCCCCAGCTGTGTCCCAGCTATCCCAGGTGTCCCAGGTGTATCCAGGTGTATCTCACCTGTCCCAGGTGTATCTCAGGTACATCCAGGTGTGATCCAGGTACACTCAGGTGTGTCTCACCTGTCCCAGGTGCTGAACATGTACGGCAAGGTGGTGACGGTGCGGCACCAGGCCGTCAGCCGCAAGAAGGACAATCGCTTCGCCGTGGCGCTGGACTCGGAGCAGAACAACATCCACGTCAAGGACATCGTCAAAGTCATCGACGGCCCCCACTCCGTGGGTCTGGGGTCCCTGGGGGGGTTTGGGGGCTCTGGGGGGTCCCTGAGAGGTTTGGGGGGGAGGTTTGGGGGCATCCTCAGGAATTTTGGGGGGTCTCACACAGTAAATTTGGGGAGGGTCTCCCCCAGCAGCTTGGGAGGCTCTCAGGCAGTAATTTGGGGAGGGGTCTCACCCAATAATTTGTGGGCTCTCCCCCAGCATTTGGGGGGGTCTCACAGTATAATTTGCGGGGGTCTCAGGCAGTAATTTGGGGGGCTCCCCCAGCAGTCTGGGGGGGTCTCAGGCAGTAATTTGGGGAGGGGTCTGACCCTGCCCGCAGGGCCGCGAGGGCGAGATCCGCCACCTGTTCCGCGGCTTCGCCTTCCTGCACTGCAAGAAGCTGGTGGAGAACGGCGGCATGTTCGTCTGCAAGACGCGGCACCTGGTGCTGGCGGGGGGCTCCAAGGTGAGCCCCCTCCCCAGCGCCCCCCGTTTTCCCCTTTTCCCCCTTTCTCCCCCCATTCCGACCCCCTTTTCCCCCTCCCCAGCCCCGGGACGTCACCAACTTCGCCATGTGCGGCTTCACGCCGATGTCGCCGCGCATCAGCAGCCCCATGCACCCCAGTGGGGCCGGTGAGTGCCTTTGGGGAGGGGTCCCGGGGGGCTCTGGGGACCCTCGGGGGCCCCGCTGAGCCCCCCACCCACCCCTGCAGGGCAGAGGGGCGGATTTGGGGCCGGGGGGCTGAGCCGGGGCCGCGGGCGCCGCGACAACGACCTGATCGGGCAGACGGTGCGCATCTCCCAGGGGCCCTACAAAGGTGGGTGCGCCTCTGAGACCCCCCCAAAACCCCCCAAAAAAACCCCCCGGGGGGATGACACTGCTGGGGACATTGGGGACACTGCTGGGGACATTGGGGTACAGGGACATGGGGGTACAGGGACATGGGGACATGGGGACACAGGACATGGGGACAGCCCCTGTATGGCTCGGGGTCCCGCACGCCCATGTACGGCTCGCAGACCCCGCTGCATGACGGTGAGTGGGGACATGGGGACATTGGGGACACTGCTGGGGACATGGGGACATTGGGGTACAGGGACATGGGGACACTGCTGGGGACATTGGGGACAATTCTGGGGACAGTTCCGGGGGTCAGGGGTCCTTCTGGGGGGGTTCTGGGGACATTGGGGACACAGGGACAGATGGGGACAGTGCTGGGGACCTTGGGGACCCTGGGGGGCTCTTGGGGGTCCTGGGGGTGATGGTGTCCCCAGGGGGTGACGGTGCTTTTGGGGGGTCCCAGGGGTGATAGTGGTTTTGGGGATGTCCCTCGGGGGTCCTTGGGGGTCCCCAGGGGGTGACAGCGATTTTGGGGTGTCCCTCGGGGGTCTCTGGGGGTCCCTGGGTGGTCTCTGGGGGGTCCCTGGGTGGTCCCCAGGGGGTGACGGCGATTTCGGGGTCCCCAGGGAGCCGCACCCCCCACTACGGCTCGCAGACCCCCCTGCACGACGGGAGCAGGACCCCGGCCCAGAGCGGGGCCTGGGACCCCAACAACCCCAACACGCCCTCCAGGTGAGACCCCCACCCAAAATAACCCCAACAGCCCTCCAGGGGAGACCCCCACCCAAAATAACCCCAACAGCCCTCCAGGGGAGACCCCCACCCAAAATAACAACCCCAGCACACCCTCAGGATGAGACCCCCCCAAAAAAACCCTTTTGGTCCCTTTGGGGACCCCTCCCCAATTCCCCTGCCCTGTGTTTTGGGGGTGGGTTCCCATTCTTGGGGACCCCTCCCCATTTTGCCCCCATTCCTGGGGACCCCTCCCCAGTTCCCCGCTCTGATTTGTGGATGTGTTCCCATTTTTTGGGGACCCCTCCCCATTTTCCCTCCATTCCTGGGGACCCCTCCCCAATTCCTTTTTTCTCTGGGGTTGTGTTCCCATTTCTGGGGACCCCTCCCCAATTCCCCACTCTGTTTTGGGGTTGTGTTCCCATTTTTTGGGGACCCCTCCCCATTTTCCCCCTGTGTTTTGGGGTTGTGTTCCCATTTTTGGGGCCCCCTCCCCATTTTCCCTCCATTCCTGGGGACCCCTCCCCAATTCCTTTTTTCTCTGGGGTTGTGTTCCCATTTTTTGGGGCCCCCTCCCCATTTTTTCCCCCCAGGGCCGACGAGGATTTCGAGTACGGCTTCGAGGACGAGCCCACCCCCTCCCCGCAGGGCTACGGGGGCACCCCCAACCCGCAGACCCCGGGGTACCCCGACCCCGCGTCCCCCCAAGTCAGCCAGCCCTACAACCCCCAGACCCCCGGCACGCCCGCCATGTGAGTGGGGACCCCAAAATACCCCGAAACCCCCCCAAAATACCCCAAAATCCCCCCGAAATACACCCCAAAATCCACCCCACATCCACTGAAATACCCCAAAATCCGGGGGGACCCCAAAATGGGTGGGGTGGGGATGTGGGGGGAAAGGGTGAATGGTCCTGGGGACCCAAAAAGGGTGAAAAATGGATTTAAAATGGGTTATAAAGGGTTAAAAAGGGGGGGAAATCGGGGGAAAAATGGGGGAAAAATTGGGGAAAATGGGAAAAAAAGTGGGGGAAAAATTGGGTAAAAAATGTGGAAAAATTGGGTAAAAAATGAAAAAAATGGCGAAAAATTGCGTAAAAATTGGGGAAATGTTGGGTAAAAAAATGTGGAAAAATTGGGTTAAATATTGGGGAAAAATTGGGTAAAAAATGGGTAAAAAATGAAAAAAATGGGGAAAAATTGCGTAAAAATTGGGGAAATATTGGGTAAAAAATGTGGAAAAATTGGGTTAAATATTGGGGAAAAATTGGGTAAAAAATGGGTAAAAACCCGAAAAAAAAAATAGGTAAAAAATGTGGAAAAATTGGGTAAAAAATGAAAAAAATGGCGAAAAATTGCGTAAAAATTGGGGAAATGTTGGGTAAAAAAATGTGGAAAAATTGGGTTAAATATTGAGGAAAAATGGGGTAAAAAATGGGTAAAAAAACAAAAAAAAAATAGGTAAAAAATGGGGAAAAATTGGGTAAAAATTGGGTAAAAAAATGGGTAAAAATGAAAAAGAAATGGGTAAAAATGGGGGAAAATTGGGTAAAAAATGTGTAAAAATTGGGTAAAAAATGGGTAAAAATGAAAAAAAATTGGGTAAAAATGGGGGAAAATTGGGTAAAAAATGTGTAAAAATTGGGTAAAAAATGGGTAAAAATGAAAAAAAATGGGGAAAAATTGGGGGAAAAATGGGGAAAAATTGGGGGGAAAATGGGAAAAAATGGGGGAAAAATGGGAAAAAAATGGGGGAAAAATGGAGAAAAATGGAGTTTGGGGGCCCAAAATCTGCCGTGAAAGGGGGGAGCTCTGGGGGGTGCCGGGACCCCCCGGGGACCCCCCGGGCGTGACCCCAGGCGTCCCCCCCTGTCCCCAGGTACAACACGGAGCAGTTCTCGCCCTACGCCGTCCCCTCCCCCCAGGGCTCCTACCAGCCCAGCCCCTCCCCCCAGAGCTACCACCAGGTGGCCCCAAGCCCGGTGGGCTACCAGAACACGCACTCGCCGGCCAGCTACCACCCCACGCCCTCCCCCATGGCCTACCCGGGACCCCCTTCCAGGGGGGTTTCTAGGGGATTTTTGCGGTCATTGTGGGGGGATATTTGGGGGCATTTTGGACGGGATTTGAGGAATTTTTTGGGGTCATTTTGGAGGGGATTTTGGGGGATTTTTGTGGTCATTTTTGGGGGGTTTTTGAGGAATATTTGGGGGTGTTTCAGGGAGGTTTTGGGAGGATATTTGTGGGGATTTTTGTGGAGATTTTTTGGGTCATTCCAGGGGGGTTTTGGGGGATTTTTTGGGGTAATTTTTTGGGGCTTTTTGTGGGGATTTTTGGGGTCACTTTGGGGGGATTTTTGTGGGGATTTTTTTGGGTCATTTTGTAGAGTTTTTGGGGGATTTTTGGGGTCACTTTGGGAGGATTTTTGTGGGGATTTTTTTGGGTCATTTTGTAGAGTTTTTGGGGGATTTTTGGGGTCACTTTGGGGGGATTTTTGTGGGGATTTTTTTGGTAATTTTGGGGAGTTTTTGGGGTATTTTTGGGGTGACTTTGGGGCTGACCCCTGCCCCCCCAGGGCGGGATGTGCTCGGTGTACCTGAAGGACAGCGAGAAGGTGGTGAGCGTGTCCAGCGAGCACCTGGAGCCCGTCACGCCCACCAAGAGCAACAAGGTGGGACCCCAAAAACACCCGGGACCCCAAAATGTACCTGGGGACCCCAAAATCACCCCTGGGGACCCCAAAATCACCCCTGGGGACCCCAAAAACACAGAGGGATCCCCAAAATATACCTGGGACCCCAAAACTCACCTGGGGACCCCCCAGGGGACACCTGGGGACCCCCAAATCCCTTCTGAGTCCCCCAAATCCCCTTTGAGGTCCCCAAATCCCCCCTAAATCCCCTCTGGGACCATCCAGACCCCTCCAAACCCCCCCCTGAGCCCCCCAAATCCATCCTGGCCTCTCTGGGACCCCCCTGAGCCCCCCAAATTTCCATTTCCCCCCCAGGTGAAGGTGATTTTGGGGGAGGACCGCGAGGCCACCGGGATCCTGCTGAGCATCGACGGCGAGGACGGCATCGTGCGCATGGACCTGGAGGAGCAGCTCAAGATCCTCAACCTGCGCTTCCTGGGCAAGCTGCTGGAGGAGCCTCCCCAGTCCCTTCTGGGACCACCCCGAGCCCCCCAAACCCCCGTTTTTCCCCCGCAGGTGAAGGTGATTTTGGGGGAGGACCGCGAGGCCACCGGGATCCTGCTGAGCATCGACGGCGAGGACGGCATCGTGCGCATGGACCTGGAGGAGCAGCTCAAGATCCTCAACCTGCGCTTCCTGGGCAAGCTGCTGGAGGCCTGAGCCCCCCGCAGCCCCCAGACCCATTTCCCGCTGCCCGCCCCCTTCCTGCCCTTTTCTCCCTCCTTTTTTGCTCCTTTTTTCCTCCTTTTTTGCCCATTTTTGTCCCTTTTTTTTTAATCCATTTTCTGCCCCATTTTCTTCCCCTTTTTTGCCCATTTTTTACCCTTTTATTGCCCCATTTTCTGCCCATTTTCTGCCCCTTTTTTGCCCATTTTTGCCCATTTTTTGGCCATTTTCGCCCATTTCCGCCCATTTTTCACCCTTTTCTGACTCATTTCTGCTCCTTTTTTATCCCCTTTTCTGCCCCTTTTTTCCCTCCTTTTTTGCCCATTCTTTACCCCTTTATTGCCCCTTTTCTTGCCTTTTTTTCTCATTTTTTGCTCTTTATTGCCCATTTTTTACCCATTTCTGCTCCTTTTTTTACCCATTTATTGCCCCATTTCTGCCCCTTTTTTACCCATTTTCTGCCCCTTTTTTGCCCATTTTTTCCCTTTTTTTTTAATCCATTTTCTGCCCCATTTTCTTCCCCTTTTTTGCCCATTTTTTACCCTTTTATTGCCCCATTTTCTGCCCATTTTCTGCCCCTTTTTTGCCCATTTTTGCCCATTTTTGCCCGTTTTCTGCCCCGTTCCTGCTCTCCCCTCAGTTGCTGTTTCTGGTTTTGGTGTTCAATAAAGAACCGCGGGCGCAGCGCTTCGGTTTTGGGGCAAATTCCGGGGGATTTGGGGCTGGTTTGGGGCAGGTGTTTTGGGAATTTTGGGCTGGTTTTGGGGCCCATTTTGGGGCAAATTTTGGTAGATTTGGGGTTGGGTTTTGGGCCCTTTCTGGGGGATTTGGGGCTGATTTTGGGCCAAGTTTTGGGGGAATTTTGGGCTGATTTCCAGACCCGTTTTGGGAGATTTGGGGCTGATTTTGGGGCCCATTTTGGGGCAAATTTTGGGGGGTTTGGGGCTGGTTTCAGAGCCCATTCTGGGGCCACTTTCAGGGGATTTGGGGCTGATTTTCAGGCCAGTTTTGGGGCTGGTTCGGGGTAGGTTTTGGGGCCAGTCTGGGTGAATTTGGGGCTGGTTTGAGGGCCCATTTTGGGGCCAGTCTGGGTGAATTTGGGGCTGGTTTGAGGGCCCATTTTGGGGCCAGTCTGGGTGAATTTGGTTGATTTTGGGGCTGATTTTGGGGTCAGTGCGGCAGCGCCAGGTGAGGGCGGGCGGGGGGCGCGGGGGGCACCGGGGGTCCCCCAGGTGTGCCCAAGGTGTGTCCGGGTGTCCCCCAGGTGTGCCCCGGGTGTCACCAGGGGTCCCTCAGGGGTCCCTACGTGTGCCCCGGGTGTCACTGGGCTGTCCCCGGGGGTCCCCGAGTGTCCCCCAGATGTCCCCAGGGGTCCTTCAGGGGTCCCCAGGTGTCCCCCCGGTGTCCGCAGGTGTCCCCAGGTGTGCCCAGGTGTCCCCAGGTGTGCCCAGGTGTCCCCAGGTGTCCCCTCTGCACGTGGCTGGGGCTCCCCTCTTGTCCCCAGGCTCCCGGGGGTCCCCGAGTGTCCCCCAGATGTCCCCAGGGGTCCTTCAGGGGTCCCCAGGTGTGCCCGGGTGTGCCCAGGTGTCCCCTCTGCACGTGGCTGGGGCTCCCCTCTTGTCCTCAGGTGTGCCCAGGTGTCCCCGGGTGGTCCTGAGGTGCCCCCAGGGGTCCCCGGGTATCTCCCAGGTGTCCCCAGGTGTGCCCGGGTGTCACTGGGTGGTCCCCAGGTGTCCCCCAGGGGTTCCCGAGTGTCCCTCAGGTGTCCCCCGAGAGTCCCCAGGCTGTGCCCAGGTGTCCCTGGGGGTCCCCAGGTGTCCCCCGGGGGTCTCCAGGTGGTCTTCAGGTGTCCCCTATCCCCTCTCACCTGTCCCCAGGTATCCAGTGACCCCCCTCAGGACCCTGAGGAGCCACCCCGGGGGTCTCAGGGGTCCCGGGGGTCCCTGCGGCCACTGCTGCTGCGCCTGGGGGGGCTCCTGGCGGCCTCGGGCGGCGCCGCCGTGCTCTACGTGTTCGGTGAGTGGCACACCTGGCACAGGTGTCCCCAGAGTGTCCCCAAATGTCACCTGAGGGTCCCCACAGGGGTCCCTGAGTGTCCTCAGAGTGTCACCTGAGTGTCCCCAAATGTCACCAGTGTCACCAAAGGTCCCTGAGTGTCCTCAGAGGTCCCTGAGTGTCACCAGAGGTCCCCAAAGTGTCCCCAGAGTGTCCCCAGAGTGTCCCCAAAAGGGTCACCGGTGTCACCTGAGTGTCCCCAAAGGTCCCTGAGTGTCCCCAGAGTGTCCCCAAAATGCCCCCAATGTCACCACAGGGGTCCCTCGGTGTCCCCAGAGTGACCAAAGGTGTCACCAGTGTCCTCAAATGCCCCCAGAGAGTCCCCAAAATGTCCCCAAAAATGTCCCAGGTGTCCCCAAACTGCCACCAGTGTCACCAAAAAGGTCCCAGGTGTCCCCAAAGTGTCCCCAAAGTGTCCCCAGGTGTCCCCAGATTGCCAGCAGTGTCACCAGGTGTCCCCAAATGTCCCCCAAAACGTCACCAGTGTCCCCAAATGCCCCCAGAGAGTCCTCAAAATGTCACCAAAAAGGTCCCAGATTGCCAGCAGTGTCCCCAGGTGTCCCCAAATGTCCCCCAAAACGTCCCCAGTGTCCCCAAGTGTCCCCTGTCCCCCCAGGACACTGCAGGGACACTCCTCCATGTCCCCAAAGTGTCCCCATTGTCCCCAAAGTGTCCCCAATGTCCCCAAATGTCCCCATTGTCCCCTCTGTCCCCGCAGGCAGCAACGCCGTGGACGAGCACGGGGACAAGGTGAGGGGACGGGGGGGGGCACTGGGGGCACTGGGAGTGGGGGTCCTGGGGGGGCTTGGGGGCTCCCAGTGTCCCTGTTTGTGTCCCCAATGCCCAAAATGTCCCCATTTTGTCCCAAATATCCCAATTTTGTCCCAGATGTCCCAGTTTCATCCCCAATTTTGCCCCAGATGATCATCGAGCCCACAAGCTCTCCCCAATGTCCCCAAATGTCCCAATTTTGTCCCAATTTTGCCCCAATTTTGCCCCAATTTTGTCCCAAATCTCCCCAATTTTGTCCCAAATGTCCCAATTTTGCCCCAATTCTGCCCCCAGATGATCATCGCGCCCACAAGCTCTCCCCAATGTCCCCAAATGTCCCAATTTTGTCCCAAATCTCCCCAATTTTGCCCCAATTCTGCCCCAGATGATCATCGAGCCGACGAGCGCGCGGCTGCTGCCCGACCCCCTGCAGGAGCCCTACTACCAACCCCCCTACACGCTGGTCATCGAGCTCACGGGGGTCCTGCTGCACCCCGAGTGGTCGGTGAGGGACCCCGAGAACCCCCAGACCCAAAAAACCCCAAAATCCCCCAAAGAATGGCTCAAAAATGGCTCAAAACCCCAAAAAACGGCTCAAAAACCCCCAAAATCCCCCCAAAAACGGCTCAAAACCAGCCCAAAAACCACCAAAAAGATCCTGCTGCACCCCGAGTGGTCGGTGAGGGACCCCGAGAACCCCCCGACCCAAAAAACCCCAAAATCCCCCCAAAAACGGCTCAAAACCAGCCCAAAAACCACCAAAAAGATCCTGCTGCACCCCGAGTGGTCGGTGAGGGACCCCGAGAACCCCCCGACCCAAAAAACCCCAAAATCCCCCCAAAAAAAACGCTCAAAACCCCAAAAAAGAACCAGCTCAAAACCCCCCAAAAACAGCTCAAAACCAGCCCAAAAACCACCAAAAAAATCCTGCTGCACCCCGAGTGGTCGGTGAGGGACCCCAAAAACCCCAAAACCTCCGGAATTTGCCCAAAATCTCCAGAATTTGCCCCAAAACCGCCAAATTTGCCCCAAAACCCCTAGAATTTGCCCCAAAACCCCCGGAATTTGCCCCAAACCACTGGAATTTGCCCCAAACGCCCAGAATTTGCCCCAAAACCTCCGAGATTTGCCCCAAACCTCCAGGATCTGCCCCAAAACCTCCAGAATTTGCCCCAAAACCACCAAATTTGCCCCAAAACCCCCAGAATTTCCCCCAAAACCTCCGGAATTTTTCCCAAAACTGTGGGAATTTGCCCCAAACCCCCGGAATTTGCCCAAACCACCCGGAATTTGCCCCAAACCCCCGGAATTTGCCCAAACCACCCGGAATTTGCCCCAAACCCCCGGAATTTGCCCAAACCACCCGGAATTTGCCCCAAACCCCCGGAATTACACCCCCCGAAAACAACCCCAACCCCCCCCAGAAATTACCCCCAAACCCCCCGAAATGACCCAAAACTCCCTGAAAACAACCCCAAAACCCTTAAAACAACCCCAAACCCCCCGAAAACAACCCCAAACCCCCCGAAACAACCCCAAAAAGCCCCCCCAAACCCCCCGAACTGCCCGCTGCCCCGCAGACGGCGTTCCCGCTGATCGACTCCATCGACCCGCACGGCTTCGTCTCCTACCGGCTCTTCCGCGACGCCACGCGCTACATGGACGGCCACCACGTCAAGGTGGGCCCCCCCGGGGACCCCGGACCCCCTTTTTGGGGCGGAAAACTCAGATTCGGGGCGTCCCGCAGGACATCTCGTGCCTGAACCGCGACCCGGCGCGGGTGGTGGTGGTGGACTGGCGCCGGGACTCGTTCCGGCTGCAGCCGCACAACGGGCTGGCCCTGCCGCGCTGGGACGGCGGCTCCGAGGACCGCGCGCTCTATGACCTGGCCGCCTTCCTCAAGAGTGGGTGAAACGCCCCAAAATACCCCAAAAACCCCGTTAAATCCAGCCCAGACCCACCAAACCCGCCCAAAACCCACCCAGACCCGCCCAGAATTCACCAAACCCACCCAAAACTCACCCAAACCCAGCGGCTCCGAGGACCGCGCGCTCTATGACCTGGCCGCCTTCCTCAAGAGTGGGTGAAACGCCCCAAAAATGCCTTTAAACCCACCCAAAATCCACCCAGACCCGCCCAAAATCCACCCAAACCCGCCCAAAATCCACCCAGAATTCATCAAACCAACCCAAACCCACCCAAACCCACCCAAACCCAGCGGCTCCGAGGACCGCGCGCTCTACGACCTGGCTGCCTTCCTCAAGAGTGGGTGAAATGTCCTGAAATGCCCCAAAATGCCTTTAAACCCACCCAAAATCCACCCAAACCTGCCCAAAACCCACCCAGACCCGCCCAAAATCCATCAAAACCCGCCCAAAACCCACCCAGAATTCACCAAACCTGCCCAAACCCAAACCCACCCAAAACTCACCCAAACCCCGGCGGCTCCGAGGACCGCGCGCTCTACGACCTGGCTGCCTTCCTCAAGAGTGGGTGAAACCTCCTGAAATGGCCCAAAATCCCTTTAAACCCACCCAAAATCCATCCAAACCC